AATTTGCTTCATCCATTGAAAGCTCATCAAAGCTTTCATCTGAAAACTACTTGAAAGGTATATTAAAAAATTATTTCTGTAGACATGTATGTATGCATGTGTGTATGTATACATGCATGTGTATACATATGTATTCAATAAAGATAGCTTATCTAAAACTTGTTCTGCCATTTTTCTTCTGTAACAGCTTTCCTCCTGCTTTGTTTACCTCTCTGGTTAAAAAAGATGACTTTCATCTAAGTATCCACGATTGGTGTTATCACCAAAAAAAAAAAAAAAATTGTATTATTATGTATTCAGATGTCCATATTTTAAATAGGATTTAACATGTACATTAATTTGTATTACTTAGAAATTCTATAATGAATATTTTTTCTATTCATGTAATAAAAGTTATTTCTAAAGAATTTTTAAAATAAATAACAAATGTAGAATATATATATATATATATATATATATATATATATATATATATATTTTCCATCATAATGATGGCAGTGGCCTGTCTGGAGTGGCTGCTGTGGGGATACCAGCTGCAGTGGGGGAGGTGTGGCCAGGGCTGCACACTCTTTGGAGCCAGTGGGGACCAGGAACAGGTGATCCCAGTGGCAGCCCAACACCCTACTGAGTTGGCAGGGTGGGAGCCTATGCAGCTGGGCACAGCTGCAGCCTCCCAGCTGTGACTCCAGACCTGGGAATCCCTGCACTCTCAGGGTCCATGAAGCTCCCTGCCCCACAGGCTCAGAATGGCCTCCTCCTGCTTCCTGGCCTCTCCCCACTCCTGGCATCTGTTCCAGTGCAGAGCAAAGTTTTAGACAAGCTTGAGCACTGTTGTGACCCAGGTAGGTGTGTGTGTGCTCAGGGAAGCGCTGACATGCCAGCGACCCCTCCCAACCCCCGGCCCACTGCCTTGGCCTCCTCTAAAACTTTGAGGGCTAATGAGCTCTGTGAGGGAGGCTGGGGTGAGGGTGGTCAGGGCAAACCTGTGTGTGCCCCTCAGCATGGACAGCCTGGGCACCATGGATGGCATATTGATGGCTGCAGGAGGCAGACAGGTTCCTAGGTGGGAAGGGGAAGTTCCCTGATGAAACTTCGCATTCAAGCCAGAGACAGCCTGAAGCCTGGGAGTCAGACTGCCAGTTCTGGGTGGAGTCCATGACCCAGAGTGAGAACTTCATTAATGCCTTTTGGGCAATAGAATGATGCTTTTTCCAGGCCTACCCGTGGCTACCTATGGACCAATCAGCATGGACTTCCTCCACTCTGAGCACATAAAACTCCCAGACTCAGCCAGACTCACACACTCATGGGGACAACCTGCCTGTGGAAAGAAGCTATCCACTTAAGTTCTCCTGAGAGCTGTTCTGTCACTCAAGAAAGCTCCTCTCCACCTTGCTCACCTTTCAGTTGTCAGCGTAACCTCATTCTTCCTGGACATGGGACAAAAACTCAGAACCTACTGAACAGCAGGAGCAAAAGGGGCTGTAACACATTCCTGGCAGGCTCGCTGAGCTACAGGCAGTGACACACTCCTGGACTGTGGAAGTGAAGAGTGGCAACCCTTCTGGGGGCCCAGATTTTTGAGTTCTGTAAGCCAGAACTACTGTAATACTATAGCACTCTCGCCCTCTATTGGCACTGGGCAGCTGCCCCCATGTGATGGGAAGTAGTAGCAGGACTGGGCCAGCCCAGGTGCTGCTGGCCAAAGCAGGGTGGCAGGACTTAAGGAGCTGTAACACAAATGCACTGAAACATGCCCCCTGCTCTCTGCACTGTAGGTAGTGAGAAGGAGAGAAGAGCTATGGTTTTTTGGGGGGTCCAGACCTTGGGTTTCCCAAGTCTGGGTTGTGACACACTGTGACCCCCTCTTTGGGGTTCTACCATTCCTGGCATCTCCAATCTTTGGGAGCCACCTAATTCCCCTATGCCTGCAGCAGAAGCCACTTGTGGTATGACTGGTCTAGCTGCAGTTTTGCACAGAGGCAGCACCTGTGCTGGCACCTGGAGTTGCCCACTCTGCCAGTGGCTGGATCTTGCACTCACTTGCTCACCCACCTCTTGCTGCTCCACACCTGGCTCCCCCTTGGCAGGCATGGGATCCATGCCAGTAGTGCTAGCTGAGTGCAACCTGCTAGGCTGAGTGAGAAAAATGAGCTCAGCAGGCATGAGCAAAACTCAAGCAGAGGAGCTGCCAGCCACAGAGGTTTCCAAATGGTGAAGTAATACCCTAAGGATCCTGTGACAGTAATGGCATTTGACAGAAACTTTTCTTTGATAAACTTAGTGTGAAGTTTTGTGATTAAAAGTTATTGTTTAAAGTCACTGCTGCCTCTACTTTCCTCAGGGATTTCAGTGTAATAAAAATAAATAAGAACAGAAAAATAAGGCTTTATTTTTAACAAAACTGTGGAAGAGTCATTGCCAAATAGAATGAAATATAAGTGAAATTGAGGGAAGATGCTTAAGATTTCAGCAATTACAGATTCTTGTAAGTTTGTGGCTTTTTCCCCTGAGTTTTCTATTCTGTTGTATTGGTCTGTGTGTCTGTTTTTGTACCAGTGCCATGTTGTTTTGGTTACTGTAGCCTTATATTATACTTTGAAGTTTGGTAATGTAATGATTGCACCTTTGTTGTCTTTGCTTAGGGTTGTTTTGCTTATTTTGGGTATTTTTTTGGTTCCATATGAATTTTTGAATAGGGTTTTCTAATTCTGTGAAGAATGGCATTGGTAGTTTGATAGGAAGAGCATTGAATCTATAGATTGCTTTGGGCAGTATGGCCATTTTAATGATATTGATCCTTCTAATCCATAAGCATGGAATGTTTTTCCATTTATTTTTGTCACCTCTGATTTCTTTCAGCAGTGTTTTATAGTTCTCCTCACAGAGGTCTTTCACCATTTTGGTTAGCTGTATTCCTAGTTGTCTCATTTTCTTTGTGGCTATTTTAAATGGGATTGTCTTCTTGAATTGACTGTTAACTGGGATATTATTGCTGTGTAGAATTACTACTGATTTTTGTACACTGATTTTATATCCTGAAACTTTACCATAGTCATTCATCTCTTTGGGCAGAGTCTTTAGAGTTTTCTAGGTATGGAATCATATCGTCAGTGAAGAGAGATAGTTTGACTTCTTTTCCTATTTAGATGCCTCTTATTTCTTTTTCTTGCCTGATTCCTCTGGCTAGGGCATCTAGTACTATTTTGAATAGAAGTGGTGAGAATGGGCATCCTTGTCTTGTTCCAGTTCTCAAGGGAAATGCTTCCAGCTTTTGTCCATTCCGTATGATGTTGGCTATGGGTTTGTCATAGATGGCCCTTACTATTTTAAGGTATGCTCCTTTGATGCCTAGTCTGTTGAGGGTTTTTATCCTGAAGTAGTGTTGGATTTTATCAACATTTTTTCTTTGTCTATTGAGATGTTCATATGGTTTTTGCTTTTAATTCTGTTTATGTGGTGAATCACATTTATTGATTTGCAGATGTCGAACTAGCCTTGTATCCCAGGACTAAAGCCTACAATACAGACTTTAAAAAATCCTCAGATTACTCCCAAATTAGGTGGCATGTCCTAAGCAGAAATAAACCTGTCATTTCTTCTTTGTAAAGTGAGGCCAATTGGCACATAAAGGCTGCAAGTAAGTCCCTGTACCCGCATGACCCTAGAATGACAAGGAGATATGGTTTGGCAGCGTCACCACCCAAATCTCACTTTGAATTGTAATAATTCTCATGTGTCAAGGGTGGGATCAGGTGGAGATAACTGAAGCATGGGAGTGGTTTCCCCCATACGCCATACTCTTTTCATAATAGTGAGTTCTCACAAGATCTGTTGGTTTTATAAGGGGTTTCCCCACTTCAATCAGCACTCATTCTCTTGCCTACCACCATGTGAAGAGGTGACTTCTGCCATGATTGTAAGTTTCCTGAGACCTCAAAACCCATGTGGAACTGTGAGTCAATTAAACTTCTTTCTTTTACAAATCCCCCAGTCTTGGGCAACTCCTTATAGCAGTATGAGAATGGACTAATACAGTAAAGTGGTACGGCAGACAGTGGATACTCATTAAAATACCCAGAAATGTGGAAGCAACTTTGGCACTGGGTAATGGACAGAGGTTGGAACAGTTTAGAGAGCTCAGAAAAAGATAGGAAAATGTGGAATAGTTTGGAACTTTATGGAGACTTGGAGGGCTCAGAAGACAGGAAAATGTGAGAAAGTTTGGAACTTTGGACTTGTTGAATAGCTTTGACCAAAATGCTGATAGTGATATGGACAATGAAGTCCAGGCTGAGGTGGTCCCAGATAGAGATGAGGAACTTCTTGGGAACTGGAATAAAGGTGATTCTTGCTATGCTTTAGCAAAGAGACTGGCAGCGTTTTGTCCCTGCTTTAAGATCTATGGAAGTTTGAACTTGAGAGAGATCATTTAGGGTATCTGGTGGAACTAATTTCTAAGTGGTAAAGCTTACAAGAGGAAGCAGAAGAGGAAAGTTTGAAAAATTTGCAGCCTAACAATGCAGTAGAAAAGAAAAACCAGTTTTCTGGGGAGAAATTCAAGCCAGCTGCAGAAATTTGCATAAGCAAGGAGGAGTCAAAACAACAGGGAAAATGTCTTCCAGACATCCTCTGAGACCTTTTTGGCAGCCCCTCCTATCACAGGCCTGGAGGCCTAGAAGGGAAAAATTGTTTTTTGGAACTGGTCCAGGCTTCCCCTTCTGTGTGCAGCCTCAGGCGTTGGTGCCCTGTATGCCAGTCACTCCAGAAAGGTGCCAAGGTATAGCTCAGGCCATTGTTTCAGAGGGTGCAAGCCCAAAACCTTGGAAATTTACATGTGGTTTAGGCCTGTAGATGCACAGAAGTTAGGAACTGAGGTTTGGGAACCTCTGCCCAGATTTCAGAGAATGTATGTAAACACTTGGATTTCCAGCCAGAAATCTGCTGCAGGGGCAGAGACCCCATGGAGAACTTCTGCTAGAGAAGTATGTAAGAAAATTTGGGGTTGGAACCCCACACAGAGTCTGCACTGGGGCACTGACTAGTGGAGATATGAGAAGAGGCCCACTGTCCTCCAGACCCCAGAATGTTCAGCTCACCAACAGCTTGCACCGTGTACCTAGAAAAGCCACAGACACTTAACACCGGCCTGTGTTTAGTACAGGGTACAGCCCCCTTCTGCTGGTTTCACAGGCTGGTGTAGTGATGAGAACATTGCTTTAATCAATATGCATAAATTACAGTATGCTACCCTTTAATAGAGAAGAGAGGGCCAATTCTGCAAATCCAGAGGGTTACCGGGGATCTGGGGATTCAGAACATGTTAATGTGTAGATGCATGTTGTCCTTTTACAAGTCACAGTGTACAGCTCCTCTGAAAGGCCTTTATTGTGGCATAGCAGACTTTCCTGGAATGAGAATTCAACCCTCTCTAGAACTCCACCACCCTTATAATTCTGAGCTGGATCCTACACGTAACTAACTTTTGGGCTTAAGGAGATGCAAGTCCCTTTATATACCACCTTTAAGTCTTTTGGATTCACATTTGGCCTTAAACAGGTGATTAATCACCTTCAGCCTTCATTGTCTTTATTTAAAGTCTCTATTAACCCCTAAAGTAGTCATCCAATTCTGTAGTTAGTATGACTATTGCTTTTCCCAGACTTTTCAAATGACTTAACATTGTACTCACCTGTGCATTCCATTACTCCTATAGCCCAACCCACTGAACTACTGGTGAAAGTTTTAACAATTACACTTCTATGGGATGCAGAGTACCTCACTCACTCCTGGTCATAGAAGCTCTTTGCCAACCAGCCAGCAAAAAATCCAGTTCCAGAATCGTTTTAGAGCTTACTTTTTTGGACTACTCCTAGCATTAATGTTATTTGTGAGGTTCCCCAGAAAATAGACCCTCAGATGCAGATTGTTTTGCCTTTGATTTATTGGAGAGCGCTTTCTTAGGATCAATACCTGCAAGGGAATAAGGGAATCGGGTTTGTGTAAAGGGAGATTTAAAATGATATGCAATTACAACGGAGGTCCCAGTTAATTCCATGGAAACTCTAAGCTGGTAACTTGGGAGTTAAGGTCAATAGGTGAAACTCTGTAGCCCTTCTTTTTATTGATTTTCTTGCAGAAAAGAGGCCTAAACTTGCACCAGTCACATTCCTTTGACCTAGGGCATTTACTGGGGAGAGATTCATATGTGAGCAGTTAAGAGCTGTAACTGGGAGAAATAAGTACTTAGGTCATAAAGAGGGTATCTGGCAGTGGACTACAGCATCTAATTAAGATGAATACTTAAAATACCTCTCTCTTCTTGAAGTATTCTTCATCATACATAGATAACATAATGCTCATACATTTGTGTGTGTGCCACTATTTCTCATTCATTTGATTCATTTGTATTATAAATTAATGCTTGTATATCTGTCTCATCTGCAAACTTTTAAACTTTTTAAGAATAGGAATTTTATATCTAGTCCATGCATTACACATAATAGGTACTGGGTAACACTTTATTATCTATGACTACTTTTACCATTATTAAAAACTGAATCAGAATTCCAAATAAGCAATGAACTAGACTGTTTTGCAATCTAAGGACTTATCAATATGATAAGTATTCATTATGAAACAAGATGAATAAGAATACTGTACTAGAATGATAAAGATATAATGAAAAGACAAAATTTTTGAAATTTCTACTGATATAAAAGATGTTTAAAAAGTAGGGCAAAAGAGACTAAGCACAGATATAAAGAAGAACTTCTTGCTAATAAGAAATGTGAAAGATGTGAGACTATTTAATCTAGCACCTAATTGTAGAAATATAGACATTGGTTCAGAAAAGTTACTACCCAAGACTATGCTTCCACCCATTTACAAAATGGGGACTAGGATCAAGAATTTTTTATTCTTCAGTCACACATCTCTCTATACTTTATGGACCCACTAGTTTTAACAGATAAAATTCAGAGCTGAAAATGAAACTTTAGATATAGAATATATGCTGCTTTGTTTTTTCAAGTGCTACACTGGACCATTTTTCTAAGTAAGTTTAATGGTAGAAACAAAATGTGGAGCTCCACATTGTTAATTTTTTTTAGTTAGTTTTGGTCTAAATGACTTTAATGAATCAAATAAATATTTCATCAAGGTAACTTTTATAAAATCAACAGATTTTGTTTCTCTCTTGCATTATAATTACAAGGATAATCCGATGGTCAGAATTTTTTTTTTAAATGATACCCAATACACTACAGAGAAGATGCATTTGATATGTTGTGTGACTCAATGCCTAGCCTTGTGTAAAGAGAAAAAGTTTCAGAGATGTTACAATTCAGCTGGCTATGTTTTCTGGAACACTGTGTTTATTTATTCAATCAGCAAGTGGCTCCATTCACTTAGCTTAAAAGACAGGTTGGCATCATTTGCACTATACCATTAGTAGGGATTATATTTGACAACATGTTGATGAGTATTTTTACTTTATTTTAAAATTAGAGGAAGGAGGTTATATACATATTTTATTTAAGTTACAATTAATAGATCAATCAATCAATCTAGAGGTCATTTATTGCTTTTATGTTCTTAAATACGTATTATGTTTTATAGGTAACTTGCACTTAAATATTCCATTTTAAAGTTTTCCTTGATGGAAATTCAGACACATTTATTTCCTGTTCTTATTTTGTTTTCTTAGTAAATTAAGCAGCTACCCATTGAATTTGTTTCTAACTTTATATTAGAAACCTGTTCTATACCTGTAATCCTGGCACTTTGGGGAGGCTGAGGTGGGTGGATTACCTGAGGTCAGGAGTTTAAGATCAGCCTGGCTAACATGGTGAAACC